TCTTTGGGGTGAACCAGCCTTTGCCGTAATGTGTTTTGGGGTTTGAAAGCCACTGGGACATCATGTTTAGAAAGTGAGTATCAGTCACATGGAGGCAGGGCTTAAAAGCCTGAATTTTGCCTGAAACTCTCAGACTGAAGAAGTCTCTTGGAGGAGAGACGAAACGTTTCATTAGAGAAGAACCCATCCAGAAGACCTATACAATTTTTTTCTTTTTGATTTTTTACCTGGATTACTGAGATGCATCAGGACGACTAGCTGGATGATAAAAAAACAGGGTTTAAAGTGATTGGTTTACAAAAACATAACCATTACTATGCCTAAAGAGTTTAAAAAAAAGGTTTGAGTTATGAAAAAGATGGGTTTAATTTTCTCTTTACAATCAAAGGAATACAGTCAGGTTCTCAGTAGGATTCAGGAGAATGACCCAGATTAAACTTCAGACCTGGTTCTCCATCAAAACGTCTGGAATGTGATCAAGACAAGGATGGATGATCAGAAACCTGAAACATTGCTGAGCTAATTGCATGTTTTACCAGGAGAGGCATAAAGTCATCCAACAACACTGTGGAGGACTGAGAGCTCACCAACATGCATAAATGTTGGATTAAAATTAGGATTATTGCACAATTTATTGATTTCTGGTTTACTCCATATAAAACCATACTGTCACATCTAAAATGAAATAAAACCTTATCATTGCATTAATTTTGTGTTATTCTGACTACTTGTCATTTTTTGCAAATAAATATTGGGAATTTTTATTTGGTTTTTAGAAAAAATACTATTAAAACAGTATGTTTACCTCAAACACAAACTTCTAAACAGTAAAAGTTGCATATTGTGCAATGGTCTATCTATTCCAGAAATGTATATTAAATAAGTATTGTATCTTTTTAATTAACTTTGGTTTATCTTCAGTTTTGTTTTGCATAATCTGCATCTCAACAAGCACAACTTAAAATTCATAAATTTTCTGTTCTTGATAGTTTGATGGTTCATAATATAACATTGACAATTACAGTATAATAAAAAATACATTTAACAAATATTTTATTTTCCTCATGAAGATATTGTCCCTTTCAAACAMCCATGCTGCTTTGCTGAAACGACTTTTCAAGACAGTAAATAAATCAGACCCAGCCGAGCAGATATCACTCATATTCCTTCATTGGGAGTTTAACATCATGTATTACATACATTACCATGATTTGTGTATTTTTTTTGCTCCCCCACCCCACAAAAAAAAAAAAACAATCCAATAAAAAGAACAGGTTGTACATTTTAAATAGAAAAATACAGATTTAGCATCATTTCTAATATTAAAAAAAAAAAACATTTATTGCAAAGTGCAGCCCTTGTAGAGAAAATATGAGAATTTGCATAAATTTTCCATCATTGCACAACTTTCAAAACAATTTGAAGTAAATAAAAGAAGAAATGGACAAAAAAAAAAAAAAACAGCTTGGTAAATTGTGCAGAGTCCAGTCCATATAAAGTGATAGAGTATTTTTAAAAACTGTTTRAACAAAAAGAATATAAAATCTTTTGCATAAACAAGTTTAAGTGTTGATGGGTTTAAACTGTGTGGTAAATTCATACCACGTGTCACCGTACAGATAAATGCACAAAAGTCAACAAAAACCTTAAAAGTCAAAAGGCACTTTGACAATACAGCGACCTTTGAGCTGACAGTCTGATCAATGACACAGCTTGTACACAAAATAGATTAAATTCTATAAACTGACCTAGAAGAAAAAAGCCAGTCTCCTTAAAAAAAAAAGCAAGATGTCAATTTTCTTTTTATTAAAATATCGATGCCTCTGCATGACAACTGCAAACCTCAGAATCACAAAGCTGTGAGGTTTGTTTTGATGCAAAAACCTTTTTCTTTTTTTGTCCCACAATAACAGAATGCAAACAAAATGTTCAGACACACAATTAAAATATATAAACAAACCACTGGGACGTACTTAGGATTTTTTTTATCCACCTGATTTAATTGATTGCACAAATCATAAGTGGTAACTGATAAATATGGTCTACTAGTGTTATTTCTGTTCATTAATATCCCTCACTGCTTCAAATCAGATCAAATAAAGACCAAACCACAAAAAAACAAACCCACACAAAAAAGACATTTAGATAAAACAAAAGTACACAAATTAAATGGTAACTACATACATAAAAACATGGTAAAACTTGCATAGATCGATCTGAATCTTCTTTCCACTTSTTTTTCAATGATTTACTGTGTTCACTTTTGAAAACACAAACATGCTTTAAAAACAAACTAACATTATTGAATAAAGTAATATCAAGACAAAATGATTTGTAATACTTGGCTTTGTAAAAATGTTGCAGAAAATGTCATCAGTTTCCCTTTAGTCTTATTCAGAGCCACAACACCGAGTGTTAGGTTCAAGGACCATCACTTCCATCGTAGATTACAGGCTTCTCCATGGTCAGGTGGTAAAACACTTTCTTGGAGATGAAGCTGCTGGGAACAAGTTTTTGATCAGAAGAGGTCAAATCTGGCAGCAAAAAGGTCAACATTTATTTAAAGGGATCCCCGATTAGTTATAACATTAGACTTTATTTGATAAACATTTATTTTAACTGTAAAATAAAGACAATAAAAATACTGTAGACTGTTTAGTTTTGTAAATTTTTAAAGATATATTTTAACACGGATGGAGCCATTTTATTTACACACAAAGCATTCTGGGTAAATGATGACATGGATAGGTCCTCAGTATGAGCGAGCTATATCCACCCTGAAGGTTAATCTTGGACTGAGCTGCTTCATGGAAGAAGAACCTCAGCTTAGCCTGTTAGCCTTTGTGCTAGCGTCGACYTTATATTGCCTTATATTGTATGTATTAGCTCGGCGCTAGCACAACAAACAAGCTAAACTGAGGTCCTCCATCCATATTTTCAGTTGCAGGCTGAGTCATTTTTGTGTTCCCCTCTCTGTCATGTGGATGGAGGACCTCAGTGACGAGAGGTGAATGTTTAACGCTGAGCTAATACATATATAGAACGATAGCGTCGGGGCTAATGCTAAAGCTAACAGGCTAAGCTGGGGTTCTTCTTCCATGAAGCAGCTCTGTTGTCCTCCATCCATATTTTCAGTTCCAGGCTGAGTCATTTCTACCTTCTCCTCTCTGTCAACGCTCTCTGGTTTCATTTAAAAGAGCCAATTATCAGATATTGTCCAAGATTAACCTTCAGGGTGGATATAGCTCGCTAGCAGCCTTGCACTGAGGACCTATCCACGTCATCATTTACCCAGAATGCTTTGTGTGTAAATAAAATGGCTCAGCCCATGTAATATATTTTTAAACTTTTAGTTTAAAAATTATAAAAACTAAACATCCTACAGTATTTTTACAGTCTTTATTTTACAGTTAAAATATAGGTTTATCAAATAAAGTCTAATGTTACAACTAATCAGGGATCCCTTTAAGGGAGAAAAAAAACAACTTTGTGCACAAATGACTGGTTAAATAAGTCACATCCATCGTTTTTTCACAGAAAATGTGCTGCGATTTGTAACATATGTGTAGATATTGATTCAGGAAATGAATATCCGCCCCACTAATATTTATGCTCAGGAGCCGCTGCTGCTTAATGACAAGAAATGGTGGGAAAAAAACCAACACTGTACATCAGTTACAAGAGAAAAATTTAGATGGTTTATACCGTGAAAAGGAGTTGTCAAAGATGAGCATGTAGAGGCCTGGGTGCTTGACTTTCAGCTGGCCCTGAATGGTCTCTTTATGGGAACTGCAGCGAGTCAGAGGAATCAGCACCTGAGAGCAGAACAGAAACTCTGAGCCTCAAAGGAAACGGATGTTTTTTCAAACTAATCTTCCAATGACTGGAGCATTTCAACACAGACATCTGCCAATCTACAGACTTTTGTTTTTATGTGATCACAATAAACGACAATTGTAACAATGAGTGGTAACTCTTGTACATTTGAAAAAAAAAATCCAATTTCTAAAGAAATACACAGCATCAAACATTAGCTGGGCGTGGAGGGAGGGTGAAAAACGAGCTGACGTGAATAATTTACAAGCGTTGACATTTTTTGTGCAGAATTTGCAACACTGTCCAGCCTGCAGCAGTTTTCCACAGTCCATCATGTTTGAACAACCGAGCGAAATGAAAGCGCGCTCGGCAGGAGGTGAACACAATTTCAGTCAGGAGGGTCTGAAAATAACTTCGGCGAGGTTCCCGCGTTTCACTTTCAGAGCAATTGGAAAGCATTACTCTCAGCCTTTCCAAACACAAACCATGTCAGAGTTTGTCTTTTGCGACGACTGCTCCTTGGCACCAGAAAGGCTCAGATGTTCACATGTTCCAAGGGAAATTAAAGAGTGGCTCCTGAATTTCACAACACGCCTCTGTATGAAATTAAAAATAAATAAATAAAAAAATGCACAGAATAATTACCTTTGACTGTTCCACCTGAATGTCACCAGACTCCCGGTAAACCACGCTGAAAGAGATACTCCTGGGCTCAGAGGAGAACACCCAGCTGATGGTGGGCCCACAGTCAGTAACAGTAACAGTGATGATGCTGTAACAACTGGACTTGATGAAGAGCTCCCTGCTACCATCACCAAACTGAGAAATATCATCAGTGCTGAGAGGAACAGCCATCCTGGAAGAGTTAACGCATCAGAAGCTCATTAATTCACAGGGASAGAGTGTAACATGTTTTAAAGTTAAGACTCACGTCAATTCTCCTGAGCTGAGAAGGTTGATCTCTAAATCCTGGTATGTTGGTACGTGTTCTTCATCGAGGGTCACATCTCCTGTCCTCCTACGAAATTCAACARGTTAATATTTAGTGTTTTTAAAAAGGATTCAGGTACAACCAGTGTTTCATGACTTCTTTTATCGTGAATCATGATCCACTGCACCTGTCTTTTAAAAACTACTTTGAAATAAGCATCATGAGCATGAATTAAAATTGGACAATGAGTGCACGCACAGATCAGTGCCCGTGCATCTTAATGAGCTGTCAGAACATTCTGGCATGTTTTATCCCAATTATCATACGTTAAGCGAGTTCTGCACTTGTTTTGTGAAACTGGATTTCAAAATGCATGGTGCATGGAGATATCATCTGTCCACCAATACCAACCACAGCTAGAGCTGAATATTTGGTAATTCTGTATGATAATTGTCGACAGTGATAATTATTGATTAGTTTTTTTGTTTTTATCTATTTGAAATAAGGACCAGGAGAAAAAAAGGCCGATTAACACAGCCAAACTGGTGATATGACCTTTCCTCTTTTATCCACAACTTCCTCTCGAACTGTTCAGATGTTCTTTTACCAAGGAGTGAGCTGACGCCACCAACCTTAGCTGTGCCACGAGAGGTTGAGCAACGAAAGTGTTTCCTCTGCCTACATCCCCCAGAATGCCGTGTGGTTCTGGATCAGAGTTCAGTGAAATTATCAACATTCTATGGGACATATTTTCTATTGAGATTCATCGTGTGTCTACCACGACATATAATGTTATGGATTTATCGCCCAGCCCTAAATGAGGCTTCCAAAAATTGTTTTCCAAAAGGTAACATGTTAAAGCAGGGAATCATTAAAAAACACTTCTGCAAATTGTTCATTCATAGAAATATCCTCACACAGAGGCAACTTGAATAATCTAAAATTTCATCAAAGCATGCATGGCGATTGAGTTTAAAGATTTGAAAAATCCCCCAAACAAAAATTGTTAAGGGGAGAAGTCGAACAACCAACAGACCTATTCCAGTAGTCAAGAGCTTTTAGTCATTTTAAAATATGTAGATCAAGAGGAGCTACATCCCACCATAACATCTGGTGTACCAAGAAAATCTCTCTGCCACTGAAGACCAAGTTGGTGATAACTCTGATCTGGATCATTGCTACTTATAGATGAGAGAGTTGGACCTACGGTTGCGCTGATAAATTCGCCGGCCAATTTATTAGCAAAGATTTCCTTAATTTTGGGAGATCGGATTCTCATCTACCTCTACAGAGGTCTGAAAATCAGCCACTGTCCCCTTTTGCTCTGCTGTGAGCTCTACCTAATATCCAGTTAAAACAAGTTTGTGTTGTTTCAAGGACTCTGTTTTGTTTTTCAATAAAATAAAATAGGAACTTTGAAGGTATTTTGTGACCTTATAACACCTGACAGTATAATTGGTATCGGCCAAAATCTGAATCAGCAGGTCAGACTTTTTAAGGGTCGTGATTGGCCAGAAAACCACAATCAGTGCTCCATTAGTTGGACCAAGGAGATGTAAGAAAGATAAACACCCTGCAGATGTGGATATGAACAGGTGAGACAACAGGTGAAGATCCCAGAAAGACGTGGGCTGCTGCCATCCTTCATCAAAAGAAAGAAAGTCAGATATAACATTTGGGAGGGACGTCCAATAAGTCTATTGCTCTGTACCATTAAAGAAGTGGAAGGCTCTAACAAGAATGGGAGAAGGAACATGAGCTGGATGGACAACATCACCAGCAAGTGGACACGTGACGATACCAACGCCCATCAGGCTATGGCAACACCTGACCTGAAGCTCATTTTAGCAGCATAAATGTTCAGAATAAAACTAGGAAACTTACACATATGAAATAGTTCCTGTCCTACATGTTAACTGCACGAGTCACATGTTATTTTTAGCTTAGAAGTCAAACAAAAAGAAACGAGACTCTTTTGAAATACCCTGGAGAATAGAAGTTGTTCCAGAGAAACAGGCAACATAAGATGATGCCGCTCATCACTGAATGATGCAGAGTGTAAAAATCTCTTTGTTTTGATTTCCTTTTCAATAATGCTTTATTGATGACACTAAATAAAAGCTCTGAACCTGGAGGTGATGCTGTGGTATTTTGGGTTCTTCGGGTTTTTTTTCCTTTTTCCTCCCCTTTTTGTGCTTCATCCGAGCATGACCAGGTCACAAGAGAGCAACAGAGTGAAAGAAAAGAAAAAAAAAAAAAAACAGCAGTTGGACGTGTTTTATCTGAATCCCTCAGCTGTGTTCAGTGGTGTGACAAGTTAGCAGTGGGCACAAAAGCCGGCTCTGCACATCACAATATTATGCTTGCTATACAAATATGGTCTGCCACCTCTTTCATCTCTTTTTCTACAAGCTGGAGCTCATCGTTTCACAACCTCATTTAAGTACACTTTCCTCGCAAGAAGCACATTAAACCCTTGAATAACAGTGTGACACATCAGTGAGGACAAAAAACAAACAAACAGGACCACCAGTGACCCGATGGTATGAGACAAAATATCAAAACACATAAATAAACCCAGTGACAAGGAATGACACAAATGTATGTAGCAGGCTCTTTACTAATAAAGACACAATGGCTGAAAATGCAACTATCAGCATCAAGGTCAAAGCAAAAGCTCAGCTTGCATTAAAGGAGCAGTCTGAAGGACTTCCTGCTATCATAAATCCTTCAGAGTCAGCCTGCAGGCTCTGACCTGACACTCTTTATTTGTTGTCCTCTGAAATACCCTGGTTTCTGTGAAATACTGTCAGATCTTGTTTTGATTTCAACACATCTCTGCATACTGGGACCCAAATTTATAACTGCAACATGTCCTGATGCATCTCAGTAATCCAGGTAGAAAAAAAAAATCAAAAAAGAAAAAATAAGTAGATCCTCTGGATGGGTTCTTCTTTAGTGAAACGTTTCGTCTCTCCTCCAAGAGACTTCTTCAGTCTGATGAGTTTCAGGTGAACTCAGCCTTATAAGCACTGCCTCCACATGGCGGACAAAGAGGTCAGTCACATGCAAAAGAGGGCCATCACTTAACAATAGGCTTGATTAGCTCTYTTGTTCATTGAGGGTCATGTGCCCCATCACCTGACTTATTGGTTTGGATGCAGTGGTTCTTAGGTGTCATGTGTATGTAGTGAATGCAGGCATACACATGACACGACACCTAAGAACCACAGCATCCAAACCAGTAAGTCAGGTGATGGGGCACATGACCCTCTATGAACAATAGAGCTAATCAAGCCTATTGTTAAGCGATGGCCCTCTTTTGCATGTGACTGACCTCTTTGTCCACCATGTGGAGGCAGTGCTCTTAAATGTATCATATCAATCATATCATGCTTTTAAATCCTTCTTTTTCACATCTAAATCATTCACTTATGGTCTATTTAAA